TTTAAATAAAAAAATATTATTTTAATATATTTTCAAATAAAAACTATTTTAAAAAATAATTACTATCATGTCTCTACTTTTTTTGTAATAAACACGACATCATAATCAAATCTCAAGCACCCCCAGCATTTAAGAAGATCCCACTCGTTAAACACCTCTCTGCTTTGTTAGATAGACATGCACTGGCAGTAGTGAGATTCAATTACCTTTGAATTGAATTTCTCAACGACTATAGCCTTTAGTTGGAGCTTTATAAAGGTTCATTAAAATTTTGGTTTATGGTTTTGTCTGAATTATTTAAGGTTGTCCCTGTGTAATAATTTGTTGAATGCATTTTGTGATGGGAAAACTGGCTTAATCGAGGCCACTAGTTAGCTTTTTGTAATAAACACGACATCATAATCAAATCTCAAGCACCCCCAGCATTTAAGAAGATCCCACTCGTTAAATACCTCTCTGTTTTGTTAGATAGTAAGCAACATGGTGGCACATGCACTGGCAGTAGTGAGATTCAATTACCTTTGAATTGAATTTCTCAACGACTATAGCCTTTAGTTGGAGCTTTATAAAGGTTCATTAAAATTTTGGTTTATGGTTTTGTCTGAATTATTTAAGGTTGTCCCTGTGTAATAATTTGTTGAATGCATTTTGTGATGGGAAAACTGGCTTAATCGAGGCCACTAGTTAGCTTTTATCCAAGGAATTTGGTAACTGGGTATACTATAGATAAATTATTTCAACAAATAATGAGAATTGACCCATATATCACATGAATGATATTATGTGAATTAATTTAAATGGCTTGAAGATGCATAAAAAAACATTAAAATTAATTATTCTAATGCCGTATATATGGATCCAAGTGGTGTTGTGATTTGAATCGGCTTTATTCATCGTTTTAATGAAGACTTTTGGACAAGACTGGCTGCAAAGTGAACTGATTTTACAGATGCAAAGTGTCATTAAAAAAAATATGTTTTTAAAAGATAGTAATTTTGAATAATTGGGGGTGGTCAAGATCAGTTTGACATTTAGGTATATATTTTTCGTAAAAATATATAATTTCTTGACTTCACATTACTAACTGTAAGTCGTCTCTCCATGTACAATTGACAGCACGTTCTCTCACATGCAAGATTCCTTTCTACGAAAATCCTGAGAAAATGGACTCCACAAGAACCGGAAGTGTGACTTATATTCATGACCTATATATATTTATCAATCTAGCTAGCAATTTTTTGTTTTTTATTTGTACAAAATCGAAAATTATAATTATAGAGCTACGTACCATGTAAAACAATTTTTTTCTTTTTTTAGTCTTGGGAAAAATTGGAGGAGTAGAAGACGAGTGTTTTTAAGAAAATTGTTTTCGTTTTCAATATATATATATATATATATATATATAATTGGAATATCTCCACTAATAAACATAAATTCCCATTCAACGTGGATTTTTTCTTGTTTCTGTAATAACACCTACGTACTGAATTACGAGCATAGTAATTGATTTAACTCTCCTAAACGTGGGAATATCTCAGAAATCATCAGAACTACTACTACTAATCAACGAGTTCATGTGAAACAATACTGCCAGAAGACAACGAGAAACTATTTATGGGTACCAGTGGAAAGCCTACGCATGATGTGGATAATTGACGAACAACTAGGCGTGAACTTCTGTAAATTAAAAACAAAGATATGGTTTTTTGAAGTTTTGGCTTTATTAACGTGGATTTTACTCCTGGTTGATGGTAAAAGATAAATTATCATAGCAGCTCAAGCTGAGTTATTCAAACAGGGTGCTGCTGTTTCAGTTCTTCGAGATCCTTTGCTCGAAGATATTATCATGTAACATTTATAAAGGGATCAGAATGTAAGAATTCAATTTGACGTTCTTGTAAAGAAAGCATTCGATGTCATTTGGATTTTTTATCTATAGAAATTGTTGAGTTTTTGTATCAAGATGCCACTAATTGGGATGCGAATGTTGTTTGCAATCTTCTGCTTTAGGTTTATTCACTTTTCATCTCTAGCTACCCGCGAATTTCTTTGGCATTTTTAGCTTTTACACAGTGTTATTGAGCACTGCCGCGTTAGTGAATCAACCTGAAAATTTATTCACTAGGTGCTTGGTATTGTATTTTAAAAGTATTTATAAAAAATTAAAATTATTTTGTTTTAAATTAATATATTTTTAAATTATTTTAATGTGCTGATTTCAAAATTAATTTTTTAAAATAAAAAAATATTAATATATATTTTTAAATAAAAAATAATCTAAAAAATAATAACTATCATATTTTTAAACATATATAATTTAATATACTATTATTAACTTGAATAGAGTTTTAAATTAAATTTAATAAAAATTCTTCATTGTATCATAAAACAAGACCTGGTTTGAATTTTTTCAAAACACCATCATTAATTTTTTTATATAAATAAATTAAAATAATATTTTTGGATTGCTTAACTCTAGCTCAAGCCCCTGTACTATTAGCAATGATGAGTTTACGTGGAGTATAATAATTATATAACGTGCATATGTATGTACTTTTTGAGAGAGAAGCTCTGAAGCAAGCAATAAACCACCTCTTCGATGCACACAACTTTATATTGCAAGGATTTTCTCTTGATGAAATTTCAATCGAGATTAGCTGATCAGTACATGAGTTAAAAAAATACCAAAATGACAGAAATTTTGCTGTTAAAGGAGACAGTTCTGCTAGAGTGATTTAGAGG